CTTACAATAGCTGGTTTCGATCGATTCTGGTCGGTCGCTGGTTCCGAATGTTTTGAAGGGGTCTGTTTGCTGTTGCGCCTAATTGTTATTCGTTGGGCTTTCACAACGTTCTGGTCCTGCCAACCTTCGAGCAGTTCACTTTCAGAAAGTTGAATGAGATCATTATCGGAAATCACACCACGGACGGTGTTCATTGACCTGTGTGGGCCCATCGCAACAGGGGTTTCCCCAAACGCTACAAGTTTAGACAGGTTCTCATACTGAGCTTTGTCACGAACCGCCAGAAGAAGACCGCCACTTCCCATATTTGTCACTTTATAACCTGGGCCCGTTGCTTCTGTGAGAGTTTTGGAAATGAGGAAAAACGAAATGGCTCGGACTGTCTTCTTTTCGTTTTGACTGTGGATAATGTGGTACTTTAGGAAGGTCGGCTTTGGTGTGTTGAGCATGAATGGTTTTTTGGTGCGCAACCTTTCCAGGGAGTGATCAGGAAAAGGGGGGAAATTATTTGCCATAAAAAAACGATAAAGTTCGGCAGCGATGGTGGCCACCCACCATTGAGCCCAACAAGGGGACACTACAAGGTTGAACAACAAACACTTGGAGACGCCAGCCATGCATCGCGGCTGTAACTTGCTATAATTATCCAAGGTTGGAGAGCTACACCAGGTTAACCCTCACCACCAGGAAATTCTGAAGTAACCAGATCACCGATAGGAACGGCGATGCTTGTTGAACTAAAATGCGTCCGAATCGTAGCTGTCATTGTGTGAGAGCTCAGAGGAGCTTGTGCATGAAGCACGATCAGTCACAGACGTGGTGCGGCGTTGTTGGCATGATGACCTATCCGCTGAGCGTCTGCTCTTCGGAGCTTTTAGTTTTCATACTCCGTGCTGGCAAGATTGGCATACCTTGCAGGTTTTCCCGATTCTGGCATAGTATTACGTCATAGGCAGAAGCGCACTCGGTTGTGTTTACGTATGACAGCTTTTTGCTAATTAAAAAATATTTCCTAATTTATTGAGAATTTCAGCTATTGGGCACATGACACGAGTGTCTCAGGAACATAAAAGCACAATTACCATAACATGGTAAAAAAATCACCGGAGTTTGAGTTTAATACAAGCTGCTCACCTTGTTCATCTACATTTAGTTTGTCATTAACCTGTGACCAATCAACGACTGACAAGTAATGACCTCTCTTGAGAGAAAATCCTGGTCATTCGTTAATGTGACTGCTGTAGCTTGTTGTTGCGGCGCATACAGACAACCTTACGTTAGGTGGTGGGTAAAATTTGCCAGAATGACCAAGAGTGAAGTGTGAAACCTTTAATGGGTTGATCATTTGACAGACGGAGGTCTAAGATGTTGGCTCTGCAATTGACAAATGTTTTATGTTGCAGTAGGGAATTAGGTGCCACAAATAACAAGAGCAGGCTGCACTTTTAGGGGCGAAGCTCCTTAGGGCGTGGGCTGTGCGTCCCCTGTAGCCTGTATGTAGCCACCTCTAGTTTAGTTCTTGCAGTGTTCACTAGATGGCGGTACCGTCCCCTGTATGTAGCCACCTCTAGTTTAGTTCTTGCAGTGTTCACTAGATGGCGGTACCGTCTCCTGTATGTAGCCACCTCTCGTTTAGTTCTTGTAGTGTTTACTAGATGGTAGTACTTGTAGCTGATGATGAAAAGATGCAAGATGTTATAAACTAGAAAGCGGTACTTGTAGTTGATGAAAGACGTGAGATCTTATACAGGAACCGCTCTCCCTTCATTTCACAGACCATAAAGCCGTCATAATGAAGGGACATCGCAAGCCATCCATCGTCTAAGAACAAATAAAAGTTGATTTGTGTATATACACACACAGCGTTTCTCACGTCTTTACATGATGATCGACTGGGCGAATTACACGGAAGATTCACAGTTTACCGATGAATCCCTCCGGAGCTTCGCCCATTCATCATCATTCACCCGGTGAATATGCCGTAATTTTTTCTCGATAAAACGATCATAATGAGAAAAGGTGAGCGTGCTCTAGTCAATTCCATGTGCATGGAAACTGCCAAGAAACATAATTCTGTGCCTGCAATGAGATGTCCTGAATTCAATGAAAAACATGACATCATAAAACGAGGCAGGGGAAATGCTGGGTGGCAAATAAAAACATCCAATCAGCATTTTTTTCGCAGCGCTCAAGGCTGATTTATCACCAGATCGATTCTTTGAAAGATTCCAGATCTTTCCATCTAACAAATTTCAGTGAGTTGTCGACAAAAATCAGCACATTACTTTCTTTTCGTTTGGTTTCCCTGAAATCTCAGTCCCCGCAGAAGATTGTGGAATCGGGGGAAAATTCAGATGAGGAAATTTTAAGGCTCAGCCAACTTTCAGAAATAGTAACATTAGGAAAAGAAGACAAAAAAACAATAGTGAAAAAATTGTTTGTCTTTGTACACAGACCAGAAGCATTCTGGTAGAATATGTCTACGTTACACGGCACTTACTACGCTAGGCACAAGCTCAGTACGATGAAGCATGTCATCGCGCAGCGCACCACGAAAAACTTGAAGAAGCATGAGACAACCATCGCACTGTCATTCAGGTGCTGTAGTCTTTCCACATCAACCTCAATGTAGAAAGAAGAATTTGACTGAAATTTAGTTTCAAGGCAACAGAAAGAGAAGGGAGACAGATCCATTGAAGTATTATGTCTTTTTGATGTCAGCGGCAGTGGCGTCCGGGCGTCAGCTTTGTAACAAAAATGGCCTCTGGCCATTGCAGCCGATGTGCCTGTTGGGTAACAGATATAATCGATGTTGCCATAGCTTCAAACGAGGCAGGTTTCTCCTTTCATTTTCAAGTGGAAGAAGAGCTGAAGAAGAGGCTGTCACAGGAATGGCGCTGCGTCACTCAGACTTGTCTTCAGCTGGTGGTGAACTCGACAGGGTTCTCACGACCTGGAGGGGGGGGGGGGGGGGGCACAGCTGCTTTCACTGGCACAGTGGCCATGCAGTTTGTCAGCTTCTCATGCAGGAAGCGGACCTCTCCCCGAAGGAAGGCGATCACACAGGTTTGTTGTTCAGCATCACGGAACTGATCCTTATGGACGAACTCATTTTTTTTGCAAGGTTGGGATACCTCGTCGCTGAGGAATGAGATTCTCTCTAGCGCATCAAGCACGAGGTGGCACAGACCAGCGAGATCGCCACTCACAGGGGTGCACGTGGGGAGGGAACAGGTTTGAGACAGCTGCATTGCTCACAGCAGCAGGCCGCCGAGTCGTCTTCGCCAGGCCTACCATCAGCATGGCTCAGATCACGTAAATTACAGCTCACTTTGCAAGAAACGTGATCCAGACTTCAGAAGTTGCAGTTCTTCATCAGGCCAGGTTACACACTTTGAGTGAACATGCTTAGAGCAACTTTCACAACAGAAAAAAAAAAATGGGAAGGAGCATAGCAAGCACGTGTCCCAGCTGGGAGCGATGGTGCAAGACTATAATAATAATAATAATAATAACAACAAAATCTTCAAATTGAAGTACAGGTCACCACTTTTTCACAAAGGGGGTGCTTTTTCATCCAGTCATCAAAAAAACTCGCATGGTCATTGGTCCCTTGAACACCCACCCAAGACCACTTCAAGGAAATAAAAAATATCTTTGCCCCACCGCAGTGGTCTAGTGGCTAAGGCTGTTGACCCGCAGGTCCCGGGATCGAATATCGGCTGTGGCGGCTGCATATCCACTGGAGGCGGAAATGTTGTAAGCCCTTGTGCTCAGGTTTGGGTGCACGTTAAAGAACCCCAGGTGGTCGAGATTTCCAGAGCCCTTCACTGCGGCGTCTCTCATCATATCGTCGTTTTGGGACGTTAAACCACACAAATCAATCAATCAATCAATTGATATATCTTTTGCATTGGCCCTATCCTGGTGACATTTTCAGTTTTATTCAAAGATAGATATAGATATCGTATGCATTTAGATATGTAATCCTCAAGATTGTCGCCTCAATCGTTCTTGTGTTTTGGTGTTCGATGGCGAGTGAAAAGTCGGAATTACTCAACGCCTGATAAAAAACATTACACCATATCCCACTAAAGGGAATCATCAGTAGCATGCGAAGCAGCACATGTGTCGGCCTAAAGTTCCGTTCATCACGGGCACCTCGCCCAATGTTAACGTGTCCTTGCAAGTGGAGCACGCCATATTACAATAGTTTCTCTTTCTGTTACCGTCCCAAACTCTTGTTGGAGCAAGGCCCGCATGTTCATCACCATGCCATGCGGGAGCATGTGGGTTCACGTGCTCCCGCATGGCGTGTTGATGACGAGAAGAGTGTAAATGATTGCTGAGAGAGTGCAATGACAGAGAGGCCATAGCACCTTACCCAATCCCTTACACAGGGCAAAATGCACTAGCGCATTCTGGCAGTGCTTGGGCCAGCTTAGCACATGCGCCGTAAGGATGGTCACGCCACACAACGATTGATAACACGATTTTAGATGCCTCTAAAATCGTATTATTGCCAATTGGTGTACGAAAAATCACATTTTAAGGCAGCATGGGTTAGTATGAAGACAATATGATTTTAGATATGAAGCATCTAAAATCCTATTATCTTCATACTAACCCATGCTGCCCGAAAAATTTTGAAGATGGTATGAAAGTATGGTATCTTCAGTTGGCATTACAGTTGGCTGCCCTGGTGCTCAGACTTCGCTAGACCCTTTTATACAGCTGGTAAATACCGATTTGTTCATAGTGTGATCGAGCTGCATGCATTATATGCACATCTTTGCACACTCTCAGTACAAGGCTGAACGAATTCCTTAGGCATTAAAAATGCTACACAGCATAGTTTCAAAATCTATATTCAGAAATCATTCGTTACCCGGGGTGTAGCCCTTCTAAAAAACAATCTGTTATCCAATAACAGAGATTCCAGAAACTAGAAACTAACTACTGGCATAAGCCAATAAAAACATTAAAAGAAACATACTCAATAAATATGTTAAACATTTTATTTGGCCAGTGAAAACCTAGATTCCTGTCAATATACAGCTAGACTAATATCTATGCTGCATATATATGAACACTGCTACCTATGCAATTCAAACTGTTGTGCTTCTAAAAAATGGAACTTGTACTCGGAGTGCTGAACAAACAGCTTTATGTTATTTGCACAAATAAGAAAATGGTAATTCACAGCCTAAAACACAGCAACCACTCTGAAACAACTACAAAAACAAAACTTCAAACAAAAACTGAATCACATCAGACACCCAGCGCAGGAACCTCTGCGCATGTAATGACTACAACACACAATACTTAACAAAAACAAAAACCAGATCAATGCCGTTTTCAAACAATACACATTGAGGGAAGTACTAAAATTGGGTGCTCCAGCTACGTTTATATTTAATTCACGAACTGGGTGTTTCCATGACAGCCATCCCCGATTACTAAAAAGTGGAGAGCTCAGAAATTTTATGCTGGCCAAGATTAATGGTGGTGGACCCCAGAAAATGTGTGACAAAGGCCAATAAGCTAGAGTTCACAAACGAATTTCTGACACATGTCGCATTTGCAAAATTTAAGGTGGCCAGAGATCGAGGTGGCGATTCTAAGAGCTGCACTGCTTTCTCATAATTTCAATGAGGTTAACATGCCTAGAAGCACTGACCAGCTTCAATTCTGCAATTAGCACAAGTACATTAACATGTTTATCTCACACACTAATATTTAGTTAAATAAACACACCAAGGGCAATTGTCACACAGCAAACAATGTCCATCAAAGCTATGCTGTGTAGAACTTGTAATTTTGTCTCAAATCCTTAATTTTTTTATGACTGGAGACAGTCATCATTAAAACAATTCAGTATGTGCAATATATTTATAATATATGTAAAGCTGTGCAATATATTACAACTATGATATAAATCTAGATTGCATTTATTACACTGTACACATGCACACAACCCACATGAGCACCACAAGCACACATACTTATTCTTTTTCTCACTCTTGAAAAAAATTATCACACAAATTTGTAAAGTAAAGCAGTTACATTGTGTCAGTATATATGTACATATACACATACCGATACATGTATACGTAAATATATTACTTGCCTAATGCATTGCACATTAGCTGACACTGTCCACTAGGTCAGTCAACTTCGCAAATAAATGTATACTCTAAAGCGGCGAAAACATAACTGCACTGACTGCAGTGCTGATGGAGCCTGTATTATTCGACTGCACACTCATATGTTGAAAGGGTGAGAGGTGGGGGTGGGAGGTCAGAGCAGGGTGGAAATGGGACGGCAAGGACCCTGACCACTCAGAAGGCCGGTGCAATAACTGGTCCAGCTGGTATAGAAGGCACACATTTGATTGCTTCAAAAGTGCCAAAAGGTCATGTGCAGTCTGTGGGCCTAAGTGCTACAGCCTGTTACAGTACTTCAACATGGTTAGAGCTCAGAGCAATGTGCCCTCTTCAGAGAAGCCCAGAGACTGGTATAAGTGCTCTGTACTCCAATTACTCCGTGATGTACACAATGTAACATGGTTTAGAAATATCTATCAACCAAGGTTTTCAAAAACGAAAGAAACACAGCCTGTGTGCACAGTAGTTCGCGAAACGAGCCACTTAAGTGGAAAAGCAGGTGCAGTTATTCTAATTGCTGGAGACAATGCTGACATAGTTGAAACAACTTAGATATTATTGAGCTGCACAGTATACCGTAAAATGCCGAGCGAGCACCCTCCCCCTCCACCTTCAAGCAAGCACCCCCACACCCCCCTTCCCTTTTTCGAGAGATCTGAAATACACTCAGGTTTCAATATAACGAACACGGATATAACAAAATATTGGTCATAACGCAGTTTATGAAAAATGGTTTTGCAATAGATGCAGTGTTTAGAAGAAGCTTTGTAACACATTTTTGAATATAACGAACTTATTTTCTTGTAAGATGCTGCTTTGTTATAATGAGGATTAAATGTAAACGCCAAATAAGCACCAATGACCGGTCCGGGACAAAGCAAGTGCCCCCCTTCCAAATCTGGACAGATTATCTTTCACTGTTGGGAGGGGAGGGGGTGCTTGCTGGGCATTTTACGGTAGTCTGCAACACTAACGCACCCAGTGCTCAACTAACCCCCATATTCTTAAAAGAGCCTCCCTTCAAATTCATCTTTTCCTCGACCAAGATGAGCAAAACGCCACTGCTCAAATGGACACACTGCCACGCTTCCAAAACGTTTTTGTTGATAATCGCTTTATGCAGGGACCATTACTGCTGAGGAGCAGTGCTGCTTAAGACTTTCCCGTGTCCAGGTGGAGCATTGAGAGAAGGGATGCTTTAGAATACGGGGGTAAGCACAAAAATTGTTGAACAAATAGAGAGACCAATGTACAATTGTCAGCATGCTCAATACGAATGCTCACAGCCTGGCCTGGAACAGCTTAGACTGACCCCAGTGCCACTATGTGTTTCTCGGCATGTTTCACAGCAGTTGGCGATGGCCAGCTTGATTTGACTAGTCAACTTGTCTTTCGCTTGTGTGCGACCAATGGGGAGAGAGCATCTGCTATCGACAACTCAAGCTATTGCCAGCTACCACAAACACACACACCACCATTTCATGGTGGCACTGGCATCCATACAAGCCAATCCAGGCCAGGCTGCAGAATGTTAATGTTAACCATCCTGGCAGCTGTACATATGCTTCCACACAGATATGGGCAGGAAAGGCTCAATGAGACAAGCATTATACAATTATAATGGCACATCTAACATGAAACTGCTGATCTGTCACAAGGATAAGCCAATGATATAAACTAATGTGCATCAGCTCATTGAAGGGATGGTATTAGAACATTTACACAAAATGATGCATTTCATGCATTTACAGATTTCACTTATTTAGAAGCTGCTAAGCAGCATTTTTTATGTACGTACTCTGCTTCTATGTTTCGGCATTGTTACTGCTGTATTCTTAAGTATCCCACGAAATGATGCTTTTGTGCAGGCTTTTACAGAATACACAAAAACTGTAATCGCTACTTACTGAAAACAAGTTAGTACACGAGATGCAGAGAACATGCTTCAATTGGAAATAGTGGTTCATCACTACCCCCCACGAGTTGTACATCAACAGGTCTACCAAAGAGGACATGCTTTCTCCTTTTCAAAACTACACGGACTAATTTCTGAATGCTTCCAAACAGCCTACTTCTCTCTATTTACATCCTGCTGGTCATATAACTAGTCATATAACTAGTCATGCATAAAAGGAAAACTTGTGGCAGGGCCATACCGGCAGGTTGAACGCTAATGAGCATAGGTGACATGTATGCATAGGTGACGTGTGCACATGCTGTTCTGCACAAGAGGTTTTTATTGAACATGAACTTCGTACCCCACTATATTTGGCTAAGTGCACACAGCAAAACAAGTGTGGGCACACACTAATACAAAAACCCCACAACGAAAACAACAATAACAAAGAAACACACAAATGTGCCGAAGGCCAAGGAATTGGCACTTTTAATGAGAAGATGACAGTCGCACAGTGTAGAACTCGCACAGAATGGCTGGTCGCTGGCTTCAAATATCTTGCAACAAGTTTACACATCTTTGACATGGCCAGCCCCTTACTGTTATCATGCCACGCAACAGAGGAAGCTAGCAGTTCAAATATTGTGCAATTCTCTAGGTGACAACCCAACCAGGACATATATGCGTTACTCTTGATCAGAATCACCATCACTCGAGTAGCCACTCTGAGAATCGGTGAGCCGATGGCGGGGCGACAGTTTGCGGTAGGCCTCCAGCCACTGGTCCACCATTTGTAGCACCAAGTGGGAACTCCTGGGTACCTTCTGCTGGGCCACAAGGAGGCCACCATCCGTGACACAGCAGTCAAACCACTGTTTGATAATTTCTTCCTCACGACCAACCTGCATATAGGAAAGTTTCAGGGGTACTTAAATCTCATTAATCTTTTCAGGGTCAATGACGTACATGTAAGTCATGGTTCTGCATGTTTGAAAAGTGCACCATTTTTTATAGAAGGTGCACTCAGCGATGCCACCGAGGTCTTCAAATTTGGAGCAATTTTCGGAGCAGCAAAATTTTCATTTTGAAGCACTTTGGAAAAGAAAAATTTTTCATTTGGAGCACACTGGAGCAGCAAAATTTCCCATTTTTAGAGCAATCTGGAGAAGCTAACTTCAAATCTTGGAGGAGAAGCAAGTTGCATTTACATTCAAGGACATGAAAACTTACTCTGAGGCTCTTGTGAAGAGCTAGATATATTTAGATTCATTGTAAATTTTATGGAGTCAGCCATCTTTGAAGCACTCTCTATTTCAGTTGATGACGCAAGGATAATAGCGTCATGCTGTTGAGCATTCTGATAAGACTTCTTCAGTTATGATGTTCGTAGCAAATAAACAGAATACTGGTTGAATAAAAGGGTACTTCATCAAATAACAATATAGATACACTTATGTGGTTAACAAATATGGTAGATAAACGCTGTGACGTACAACTCTAGAGACTCCCACAGTCCCAAGTGCATTTCCGTGAGATGACTTCAAAAATAAAAAAAGGTTCTTCTTCTTCACAACTGATTGGACTGCTGGGCGTAATATGACATCATTCAGCTAGTCTCAGAAAGCCAATTTCCTCCGGCTCTCATCTCTGTGCTGTATAACTACACAATTTAAAAACTTCATTTTCCCTTTGCAGCAATATTTTATGAGGCTAAGTCATTCTGTCTACACTCCGAAAACCCCCTACCGTGTCCTGTAGAAAGCAGTGCATAAAAAAAACTGACAGGACACCTCATGCATATGCCTAAGACGACTCGAAGGCAAGATGATAATTGTTTTTATAAGGATAGCAATTATATGGACATTCTCGACTGGTTTTTGCCATTGCCAGGGGTGTAGCCAAAAAAAATTAGCAAAGCTTAAAACTTGGGGGGGGGGGGGGGGTGCACCTTGATATAAGGAATGGACGGGGGCAGGCAAAAAATAATTTTACGCTATACATGCCATGGAAAAAAAAAAAAAATTCGGAGGCGGGGTGGGGACACGTTCCTGACGTCGATTGTTACTCAAGCCATACCTGCCAACCTGACAACAGTGAAATTTGTAGAACCCCCGAGTGGGGAAGAGGGGCAAGGGGGGGGGGGGAGTTACAGACTTTTTTTTTCATTTGTAGCTGTGGTAGCTGTGATGGATTTGCCTCTAGCGACAAGCATAATCATGTTTTGCCACCATAAGTCAAATTAATGTGCTGAATTATTTGGCACCAAAATAAAAAAACAAAAAAAGCCATGAAAAACAAGGGGGGGGGGGGGGGGAGAGTCCCAAACACAAGCGCAAACATCGGCATTGCGGTCTCATAATGGCTTGGAGAGGCCGAACACACGAGAGTAAGGTTTCCCACTAAGGTGAGACTCTCAAAGGGGGTGCACAAATGCTCCTGAAACTTCGTCTCAACATAACGACTAGCTAAAAAATGCCAGGCCTGCATGGAGGGCGCAGCACAGTCACAGCGAAAGCTAGAAGAGCGGCCTTTCAGAGCTTTTTCTAAACACTCGTTGGGTAACTCCTGCAAGCCCACTTACTGGATACCCACAACGGCATTATTAATAAAAATTTAGGGTAGTAGATCGACATTCTCTATGCTATTTTTCGTCATTCTTCTGAGAAGCGTGGTATTGGCTAAACTATTGCGAGAAATTTTGTGCCAATTGTCCAGGCAGTGCCTGACGACAATGGGGAATCATTCCTCAAGTGGGTATATGCCACAGTTAATAGGTAATCGAGAACAAGCTTTTGTAGTGGGCTGGAGCACTGGGCGACCCACTCGTTACACTATTCGCATTGTGTGATACCTTGTTGTTCGTTTGCTGTTTTAAAATGCTTTGTTACTCATAATAGCGCCATTCCTTTCCCGACATCAAGTCTGCCTAGGGCAAGTTTGCCAACAAGTCCCAAGCGCTGGTGTAACTCAGTGGTAGAATACTGGGCTGGCACCCAGAGAACGTGGTTTCGAGCCCCACTGTGTCGTTGGTACTAGGTTTTGTTTGCCAATTTTGCCCTAGGTGGTTATGGCCACCGGCGGCGGCGGACAACTACGGCGCTTTGCGAGACCGAGTTGTGATCTCATAATAGCTTTCACTGTAAAATCGGTTTCCATCAAAACAACTCACGTATGTATTCACACGTGAACGGACGGGACAGCACAGCTGGCTGCCGCGAAAGTGCGGGTCAAAGCTTTGGCTATGCTCGCTACTACATTTTTTGGACGGGGATGCCACAATGCTTCTAGTCTTTCTGACGTATTTACCACATTTAATCCTACTGCTGCATCAGCCACGTGCCCTCGGAGCTTGTAGATTGCTGTCGCATCGCTGCGACTGCCGTTTCGTGCGCGGCAGTGGCGGCAAACGGTAGTTTTGTTTTCAATCCACGTTCCTTCAAAACTAAGTCGTTTTATGTATCTATGGTCACAACTGCCACGATTTTGTCCACAGAGTTTGCAGAAAGCATCGTTGTTTTGACTGGTCGAGCTTGGACGCACGCACACTTTCGGAATTCTGTCTCGTCGCCATACATGATGGTGTCGAACGGCTGCTGTTTCGTCCCCAGTGGTTGTGGCAACGACAACCACATGCACTGTAGAAGACAGTGCATGCGCTGGTCCCATGCGTACTTCCGAAGCTTCGAGCACGCTGCTTCCAATCGGCCTTTGTTGAACAGTTTCCGTATTAAAGTTCATATCGCACGCCACGATTAGGAAAAGTGTTCAGAACATTCGAATTTTGGCCCAATGGAGACATAAATTTGGCTGGAGAATTTCACGAATTTGTATCTGCCGCTGTTTCGCATCATTGAGACTCTACTGTACGTTCAGATCAAGGCCTCTCAAATTCGTTTATAATAAAATGCGGTGACCTCGCAAAAAGCTTGGAACAGACTGATCTGCATTGTTGTCAATGCAGCCAGATCTCACACACAAATTTCGATTTCCGGGAGGTTTTGATTGCAACCGTACAAATATAGTGGCTGGAAAGGTTTTTCCACTGCAGTACAAACGAAAGAAACGGTCGAAATCCGGGAGCCTCCCGGACAATGTGGGAGACTTCGCTTGTATGTGATGAAAACACCCAATACATATTGTTGTTTTCTGGTGGCAGAATATAACACAATGCCGTTTTCACGGTCTCCGTGACCAGCTACGGTAATGTGCCGTAGCCAATTGCAGAGGCCATGCTATTTTACTAGATCTATTTTTTTCATTGGAAATGAAATATCTTTAGTGAAACTTCAGGAAAATTCATAAAATCGTAAGCGCAGTTGAAATTCGTACATTTTACGGAAAAATCGGAAGAGTTGGCAGGTATGCTTAAGCACAGGGGAGGAGCTAGAAATGCGAGGGTGAGGGGGCGTTGTTATGAACGTTGACTTTAAGGGTGTGATCGCTGGTGCACGCGCTATTTATGACTGGTATACCCTTCTACTTTGTACTCTCAACGCAAACAGACTGTGTGAAATGTGCTTTGCTTTCGAGAGCAGCGCTGAGCCTTGATCGCAAGGCGGCCACACCGTCGTGCCATTTAGGGGGTCCCTTCGTACGTGCCGTTTGTGCTGTACAGATGCAATCACACTGGTCTAAAGCAGCAGAGCGCGTGCCTGCCCACACTGTTGTTGGCCGTGGCTTCTATCTCACGTTAGCTACAAGCTACCGTTACTGCTTACATTACAGCACATGGGTCTAACATGCAGTACGCACAAGAGTCTAACATAAACACGACCATGTTTGGAAGGATTACGGCGTCTCTATTTACATACTTCTGAAGAAAACACCACCTGAAGCGACTGGCTGAGCGCTTTAGACAATTCTTATTCCATCTCTACGTGCATCAGCGTGCAAGAGATGTCTCGGGAGTCTCTAGTCACCCAAGTCGCAGATATCGAACACCTTGGAAATTGTAACGCTACCACTAGCGTTTCTAACGGATGACATCAAGCCTTATTATTTGGTATAACAATACAATTTATTGGTATTGCATTCATTGCTAAGAGCTTAAGTGAAACAAACAAATTGTATCTCTTAGATCTGATATTGCCGATATCGCGCAAATCAAAAAAACTCTAGCTAAAGGAACAATGATCACTCTACTTGTCAAAGCTTTCGAGCTGTCAGTTACCTAAATGCAAAGCAGAGGTTAAAAACACAGAAACTTCACGAGCAGTCTTACTATGCCTTGAGATAGGGCGCGCCAGCTACTTCGAGCGACGCAGCAGCCTCCCCTCCACCCCTCCCTTCAAAACGAAGCAATAAATGCGTTGCCGTGATGTTCTTTTTTTACCGTCAGCTATTGACCCTGGAAAGCGAGAGGCATTTCAGGGTCAGGCCTTCCGATCGCAGGCCTTCCGACACCAGAGCCGCCAGCGATGGCCTCACTATAGCTGCGTGTATTAAGCAGACTGCGGCGGCTCTAACCAGTAGGCATGCTTTTATAAAGGACATGATATTCAAAAACAAAGCATGCGAGAGTTTTCAATTCGAACCCTAGCAACCACGAGTTTGAAAGGGCAGGGTTTTTGGGGGCTCTTATCGCCACAGCGATCATAAACAAGGATGTGTGCTGGTGGAAGGAATTACAAAACAGCTCTTCTGTATGTTGATCCATGGATAAAGTATATTAGAGAAAAAGTGTCAACACGTTCACACCATTTAAGTGTGAACTTGAAAAATTTCACCATGGATGTGAAACTTGGAAAATTGGATCTCGATGTCCAGAAATACACATGACAGGCATTCTTGCAGAATGCGTGCAGTTATTAGTGAAAATTGCTTAATTACATGCCGTGCAACTCTTCAAGTGAGCTATCAGCAGCAGCATTCCATGAACAGATCATGTCTGCCGATAAATCGC